GATTTTTTTCCAAAAAATTCAAAATTTGATCCAATCCGATCAGATTATTTCTGAACAACTGGGCCCAGGACAACTATTCTGTTTCTGGTTTGGCTGCCTTTACATGAAATGCATGCTGGGTAACACACACACACACACACACACACAATAAAAACGAGCGGAACGAGAACATTTCTGGGCATTAGAAGCAGTACTGAGGTGGTTTACAGGAAGCACACAGACTGAGAAAGGCCCTGCATCTGGTCCCTGGTAGTTCTAATGAAGTGTATTATTGTAAAGAGGAGCAGAGTCATCATGCTGACCGCTCACCTTCTCTGCTGCTTGCTGGGTAAATATCACAGCTGGGTGGTCGGTCGGTCCGAGACGTGAAGGGGATCTGTTCTTCCTCGCGACAGAAAAACTTGTCTGCTTCATTAAACAGGAAACGGGCCGTCTTTTTCACGGCCTCACAGCGCTCACGTCGGGTTGTTTTCACTGATTTCATGCAGATTAAATATAAAGAAACAGTCTTCAACAAGGGGAAAGACGCGGAGTCAGATTTATCTTTAAAAAGAATCAATTTTAAAAATAAAGAAATAAAGAAAGAAAAAGGTATTTTAAACGTAGGGCAGCTCACTTATCACTTCAGGGAGCTTACCCCTGGAAAAACCAGTCAGACACCAAAGCCCCTACATGCATGCAGTCATGTGTCTTCTGTTTGAAAGCTGGTGTACATTTTTAGGTCGAAACTGCAACCTAATTCAAATGTCCACACTGACTCAGGAGCTCTAATCTGCAAAGTCAACAAGCAGCTGCATGAAAAGTTAAAAATAAAAAACATAAACCTGCAGAACTGACGAGGTATTTGCTGTGGTGATTATGTGCTGGACATAAACATACAGCTGATATAAATAGATTTAAAAACATTTAAATATGGAATAAACAGTTATGCAAGGTATTTACACGTGCATTACTCCGGATTTGTGTTGCGCAAACATATTACAGGTGGAGAGGACATGTATTCATCTAAATGTATGAATATAAAATTGACAAAATATAAAAGACTAATAAGGAACATGTGCAACATGGCAGTGATTTTATGTCGACAACAGTCCCTCTGTCTGCGTGGTGAGGGAGCTGAAGGAATATTCTGGGTGTTTTACTGTTTGAACAAACTGCTGAAGTCACGCTGATGCTCAGACACCGACTGAAATCTGAGACTGCTTTACAGCAGTCACATGTTCTGAAAGCGGTTTGGCAAATCTGGCCATAACTATAGTTTGACACAGCATTGTCTCGCCGCCTTGACTTCTGATCAACCTGATCAGTGTTTTCATTTCCAGAGACTTCTGCGTTTTAGATTAAAAACATCCTGCTGATAAAATACCAGGATCCACTCAACTTCAAAGAGAACATTCAAGGTGGCAGCTTATCATTTGCTGACAGACACTTGCACATGAAGATAAGGTCAATAGGTGTGTTTGAGACGTGAGCTGCTGGCGACTGCAGGGGTGGGGTACAAAAACCAGTGGTGGACAGAAACTTAGTACATCTACTCAAGTACAAATTTGAGGTATTTGTACTTTACATGACTATTTTCCTTTCATGCCACTTCCTCCTTTTACTCCATCTCAGAGGGTGATATTGTACTTTATTTATCTGGCAGCTTCAGTTACTTTACAAATAAAGATTTTTTACACACAACACACATGGAGTTAAAAAATATGATTATGATGTTATACAAGTACAGCTAGTACATTTTCTGACTGAGAAATATAATAGGCAACTATTTTAAATATCATTCAAGTCATTTTTCATGTAAAACCACTTGATGTGAAGATTTGCTACTTTTCCTTCTGATGATTTTAATATATTTTAAATAATTTTGAGGTTTGGACTGACAGAACAAGCATTGTGAAGGTGTCACTTTGGGCTCTGGGTAACTGTGACAACAAAATGTTATGTTTTGTTATAAATTTAACTCCCCAACAGTTTAAACAGCTAGTACATTTGTGGATTGACAGAAAGTCAATTTTCCATGTATAGCTCTCATGTGAAGATTTGCTGGTTTTCCTTGCAATTATTTGCATGTAGTGTTAATAATGTTGAGGTTTGGACTTTTGGTCAGACAAAACAAGCATGAGGAAGGTGTCACAATCAATCAATCGATTAATAGAGAAAATATTGAGCAGATTAATTCATAATAAAAAGTATTAGTTGCTGTCGTAATTGCCAACGAAATTTTATGAATAAATGTTTGATATGTATATTTCAGGCTGAAGAAACTTTAAAAGACTAACTTGTTTAAAGTGGAAAAAAATATTAATTGATGATATTTTTACAGCAGCTGTTGGGAAGCTGACATTTTTTGTCATAAGGACCTTGTGTGTGAGTTTTTCTTAAAATGTGGCACCGCAAAAAAAACAACGATGCATCAAAATCAATGTTGCGGCCAATCATCGAGTTACGTAAACATATTGACATTTAAAGGGTTAAAATCCCAAAAATACAATTGATACATGATACGTATATTTCAGGCTGAAGTAGCTTAAAAAGACTGGATTATTTAAAGTGTGAAAAAAAATATTAATTTATAATATTTTTACAGCAGTGTTTGGGAAGAAGGAATTTTTTGTCACTAGGGACAAATGGGTTAGGATTTCTAAGGAACTGTTAACGGTTAAAGCCAAAACAGGTTCAGCAGCATTTTCAAACTTCTCCATTTTAGGTCTTCGGATTCGCCGTTTCAGTCTTGACAAGGGGAGGAAATGTAGCAAAAGGTCTGAGTTTTAAAACGAAAACATAGTCGTGTGGATGGAGCTTAAGAATGTGAAAACGGCCCCCCTTGTACCATCACTGCAGGACTACAACAGGACTGAGGGTTTGTAGTTCAACAGACTAATTAAAGGTGAGAAACGACCAGCTGATCACCTCACTAAAGTCAGCATTTTTATTATTTATACAATCTTAGCATATAAACGTCACAGTTCTTAACCAGGACATCTATTATTTGAATCAAGATGCTGTTGTAATCTGCACGTTCCTGTTCGTAGGCTTACTTCATGTCAGATGGTTTCTCTCTTTCATGTGGACCTGGATTGGTGGCGTCTCAATTTCACACCTTTGTCACCCGTTACTTGATCCAAATACCAAGTGTCCTGCTTCAGAGAAAAGGCCACCGCACTGCAGGCCAGAGGAAACATAAGTAGACTATACCGCTTTTCCAGTGTGTCAGAGTATGATTTTATATAAGTTATTCAAAGGTGCTTTCTTTACCATCTCATCTTGAGCACATTTTACAATTCTATTGTATTTTATCATCTCTACTACAAACATACATTTTATTTTAAAAGAGTGCTTTGCTAGATATTCAAAGACCCTTTATGTGACAAATTAAGGCGAGTAAAATAAAACCTAAGACTTCAAACAGCAGAGATTGGCATAGAAGAGCATATTTATCTATGTGTCATGTCATATGATTTTTATAATGTATTTTTCTTCCCCCAGTGGTGGACAGTGACTAAGTACATATACTCAAGTACTGTACTTAAGCACAAATTTGAGGTATTTGTACTTTACATGACTATTTTCCTTTCATGCCACTTTCTCCTTTTACTCCATCTCAGAGGGTGATATTGTACTTTTTATTTATCTGACAGCTTCAGTTACTTTACAAATAAAGATTTTTTACACACAACACACATGGAGTTAAAAAAATATGATGTATACAAGTACAGCTAGTACATTTGTTGATTGACAGAAATATAACTCGCAACTATTTTGATGATCATTTAAGTCATTTTTCATGTAAAAACATCTGATGTGAAAATTTGCAGCTTTTCCTTCTGATGATTTTAATATATTTTTAATCATTTTGAGGTTTGGACTGACAGAACAAGCATTGTGAAGGTGTTACTTTGGGTTCTGGGTAACTGTGACAACATTTCTCACTATTTTCAGAAATATTTACAATCGATTCACAGAGGAAATAATCAGCAGATTAATCCTTAATGGAAATAATCATTAATTGCAGTCTGATAAACAGTTCAACCTCAATACAGTAAAATCCTGCTTTCACATTAACATATGAGTAGTAATAATCTAATGATATAATATATAATAACAGTCACAAGTCATTTTTCACTCTGCATTGAGTACTTTTAATACTTGAAGTACATTAATCCTGATTATACTTACATACTTTTACTTAAGTAACATTTTCAATATAGTACTTTTACTTGTAACACTATTTAAACAGTGAGGCATTAGTACTTTTACTTCATCCACCACTGATTACGTTATTTTTACATTGCACTGTAACTGCATGAAAGAAGCTACATGCAAACACAAACACACACACACACGGGAAGAAAACAATCAGCTAAATCAAATTCACCTGCAGTCCATGAACTGATTTGAACTATTTAGACAAACTTATTGATCTTGTATGAAGCCCCACAGATAATCTATAACCTTCACACTCACGGCATCATTTTAAACCCCTCACTTCACCACCTGCAGCATCTCTCTCTCTCTCTCTCTCTCTCTCTCTCACACACACACACACACACAAACACGTTAATGTTCATGTTAGCCACAGATAGCTTCAGCTAGCTCCCTGGCTAACACAGGTTCAAACATCGACACACAACAACAAGGATGAAGCAGTGGAAGTGATGGCTGAACATTTTAACAACAACAACCAGCAGCACGCACAGCTGCCCGCCGACATGTCAACAAACAAACATACAAACAGCAATGTCAGTCACGGACGGACAAGCTAACGTTAGCGTCCGTCTTGCTACAACCGGTGACAGCAGCAGGCTAACAGCGGCTCACAGGAGCTCCACTCCGGGAGGTAAACTAACCCAACACAGCCGCCGCCGAGCTCCCGCCGCCGCGGCTCGTCTAACTCCGGAGCTTTCGGTGTTTACATACATGTCTGTTAGGTGAGCAGCGGGGTGGATTATGTGTCTTAACCAGTCCTCATTCTGGAGGAAGTCAATAATTGTTAAACTTACCAGCAGCTCCCGTTTCTTCGGCATCTTCCGTGAAGTCCCACCGCGGAGCGTTTTTCCCTGACAGAACGGTCCACCATGTAAAGCCTCACTGGCGGCGGGGAGAAGGCGCTTCCGGTGACACTTTCACAATAAAAGCAGGCGGGCGGGCCTCCTTACTCTCCTCCCTGTCTCCTCATTCTCTCCTCCTCCTCTTTCCCCTCCCTCTCTCCTCCTCTCCTTCTCTTCTCTTCTCTTCATTTCTCTCTCCTTTCTCGTCTTGTCATCTTTTTCTTCACTCCGAGTCCCTTCTTCTTCTTCAGAGATTTATTGGCGGTTGTAAAGACCAACTTTGAGGCGCATTACTGCCACCAGCTGGACTGGAGTGTGGAAAAAGAGATTATTCATGAAAAAATAAATAAAACAAAAATAAAAAAAACCTCCTTCTTGTTTGTCTTATTTTTTGTGTGTTCTTCTTCTTCAGTGTTTTTCGGAAGTAGTAAAAACCCAACTTAGAGTTGCAGTAACCCACCAGGCCTAAAAAACAACTTTGAGGTTCATTACTGTCACCAACTGTGGCAAGTTCAATCTCAAAACGTTTTGTACCGGTTTGCTTCGAGGTATGTTTTCTGTCGTTTGGTGGGCGTGTCTCAGGTGTTACCCAATCAGCTGCGACAAGTTCATAAACACAACGGTTTTAAGAAGGCAGGGAAATGCAGTGCGCTTGCGTACTAAACAGGGTGTTCAGTTGAAAAAAACGTTTTGCTCCGTTTTGTCGGCGCTGAAAACAACAAAAAATATAGATTTTTAGCCAAATCAGTTTCCTTCTTTTTTATTCGTTCTTCTTCTTCAGTGTGTATTGGTTGTAAAAACTAACTTAGATGTGCATTACTGCCACCAACTGAACTGCAGTGTATAACAAGAAATTATGCATCATAAATAAAAAAAATACAAAAATACAAAACCTAGATTTTTAGCAAATTCAGTCTCCTTCTTCTTTGTCTTCTTCTGTGTTGTTCTTCTTCAGTGTTGGCGGTTGTAAAAACCAAGTTAGAGGTGCATTAAGGCGACCAGTGGTGGACGAAGTTCTGAAAAGCTGTCAGATGCAAAAACAGTGTTATTTGTCTCCTTCTCCTCCACTGCATGGCCAGTAATACTGCCAACAGCTCTGTGGTATATACCGACACATGGTCAGAGACTCCTTTCTTAATATATGAATCATTTACTGGAATATGTACGGCTGCTCCTGCGCACCCTGTATCCGGATCTTTGAAGCCAAACAGTCTGTAAAATGCAGAACAAAATAGTTCTGGACTTTGCGCCATACTGTAAGTTGCTCTGATTTGTCCTTCAGTCCCTGCTGTATGCTGAGGTGTACACTTGGCATGGGGAAGAATGGGAGGGATGGATGAAACTGAAAACTGCAGGGCTGAACTGTAGTTGACGTAGTCCTATTATGTGTTCTGCCTTTGCATCGCCAATCCACCCAAACCTTGTGAATCAATTGTCTCACCATGTTCCTAGCACTCTGTTAAAAGACCGAATGAGTATCACATTGCCCCTGGAGAGTAACCCAGTACGCCAGCCTTAACTTCACTCTTCTGATCCTTAAAAGCAGTTCTCCAGTTTCCACCTGCACCACCTGAGTTTGTAGTACACCTAACGTTTTGAGAAAAGGCCAAGTCGCTGCAGGTAAACATGACACCGGTTTCAGTGTATCAGATTAATCAGGGTCAGAATCAGGGCTGGTACCTGTCAGGTGGATTTCAGTTTCACAACTTATTTTTAGCCTGTTACTTGATCCAAATACTGGATAACCTGCAGGCCCATTGAGGAAACATAAGTAGGCTACACAACAGTGTCAGAGGACTGATGTGTTGCTGACATGTGAGCCACACACCCACTGTGAGAATGTGTTGGTCAGAGACAGATCTCATGAGTGCCCAAACGTTCCCCTCCTCCCCTAATAAAGTACACTGACGACCTTTTTTACATCTGTTCTTAAATTTATTCAAATTGACTCTCCTTCTGAGCTCTTGGTCAAACCAAATCTCAAGAAATAGAACATCCAGAGAGGAAGAAAAGAGCTGTCTGATTGGCTCAGTGGTGGACAGAAACTAAGTACATTTAATAAAGTACAAATTAGAGATATTTGTACTTTGCTTGAGTACTTTCTTTTCATCCCACTTTCTACTTCTACTCCACCACATCTCAGAGGGAGATATTGTACTTTTTACTTAACCACATTTATCTGACAGCTTCAGTTACTTTACAAAGTCATAATTTTACACACAAAACATATAAAGAGTTAAAAAAAAGTTCTGTTATAAATCAAAATACCCAATAGGTTATGAAACTGGATCAATAAGTTTACTGATATAATTTAATCGGCAACTATTTTGATGATCGTTTTTCAAACTCTGTCGTATCAGGAACCACTGACAAACATAACCATACAAACAGTACTTTTTAAAAAAAAGCAGGTACTTTTGTACTCAAGAAATTTAAATTGAAGACTTCTACTTTTAGTGGAGTAATATTTAGCAAGGGGTATCTGTACTTTTACTCAGGTACAGGATTTGTGTACTTTGTCCACCACTGGATTGGCTGTAACATCTGCCACACAGCAAAGACAAAAAACCCTGCCATTCCATAGTTTTAATATAGTTTTATACCAGCAGCTACAAATGGCCGTCTATGCTGAATGCCGTCCTGTACCGCAGCTCCAAAGGCAGAGTCAATTTTAAATTTTTCAACCATGTGTATTCCCACTCTATCGTAAACAACAATTCAGGCTGACATCTGGAGAACGTGACTGTAGTTCATTGCTACATCTGAAAACACGACTGCCACATATACTGACAAAAGCTAGTATTGTAAAAGTGTGAGAGGGGTTTCCTTAAACACAATAAATTTTTAAATGCTGCAAAAACAGGAGAGGAGATCTACGATGTGTGTAAATAGGCCTAACATTTTGCCAGCAGAATATTCACTATTTAATGTTCTCAGTCTCAATCAGAGCTTCATCAGGTGACATGCTTCAGTAAGAACAAATATTTCTGGGACTCTACAGAAAGATGAACATTTAACATCTGTTACTCTGCAAGAAGAGCCTTAACCATACATGAAAACAATACTTTATGTTGTATTTGATTTAAAACAACCTGTACTTTACTTGAGTATTTTCTTTTCATAACATTTTCTACTTCTACTCCAAAACATCTCAAAGGGAGATATTGTACTTTTACTTCACTACATTTATCTGACAAATTTATATACTCAATACTTTACAAATGAATGCACAAAACATATTAAGAGTTTATAAAAATGTGATGTTTTGTTATAAATTAAACTTCCCAACAGTTTATACATGTACAGCTGACAGGATCAGTTGATTGACAGAAAACTTAAGTCATTTTAAAAACATTTCAAGGTTCCAGCTTCACAAATGTGAAGATTTGCTGCTTTTGCATTTATTTATTTTAATAATTTGTACGTTTGTTAGTAACGTTGAGCTTTGTGAATGTGTCACTTTTTTCCCAATGACTTGAACTTAATACGTTCTTTCCAGATGTTGTCATACGCATATACTGAAGAAGACAACTCACTTCTTCCCTGCTGGTCTGTGCATTCCTCCTGTCTGATATGGAGACAAACAAGTTTGATATGGAGACAAACAAGTTTTATTTACTGGGATATTTAACCTCTCTGTGACCATTCATCCATGATTTTAAACATTTCAACATGTCTGTAGCTAGAAGTACCTGAGGAGTCTTTTCCTGGTTTTTGGTACGGGCACTATTTTAGGATCTTGAAACATCAGGGGCTCAGCCCAGCCATCTTTACATTTTCACCTGTTTAATCCCCACCTCTGACACAACTTTAATCCACTCAAAACAGATCTCACAACAACTTAGGGTTGGACAATTTGGCCAAAACTGTCATCACGATAAAAAGCTCAAGATCTTTTGATATCAGTAATTATCACGATAATTATCAAATCGTATTTTCTTTCAAGTTTAAAGACTGATTTTTGCTCCTGAGTGAAAGTTGAAAGCTTAAACTCTTCTTTATGGTCAGAACAAACACTTGAGGCCAAACAGTGGATCAATTCACAAATCTAGAACATTCAAAACAATTATGACAAAATCTTTGTCAACAAATATGCACGAGTACAATTAAATCAAAGCTTTTTTCAGTCCTTTTTCCAAAAAACAAAATAAACATCTCTAAAAATATATTGCGATAATTATTGTTATTGTAAATGTGACAGGCTATATACATCTATTGTTATCAGCATTATTATTATTGCTACTACTACTTCTAATAACAATAATAAAACACTTAAGGTCTTGCATTTTGAAGAATTTTGCACCAATTTATGGTGGAAATGTTTTCTATTGATGTTAAAGGGAAATACAAAATTCAGGTTACAGGTGACATTCAAAACTTACACCTCTAACAGAGTGTAATGCAGTAAGGTTCTCCGCCATTCTGTGTTGCTTTCAGATCTGCTTCTCCTGCTACTTTTCTCACGTGATATCATCCCTGCTGTGTCAGCACACATTCAGGTGTGACTGATTGAAGAAACCTCTTTAAATGTACATCTTGCACCTTTTCGCGTCAATAATAAATTCTTTTAATTAATTTATAAACCCCTGGACTTTAATAGCTCCTGTGTTTGAGCAGTTTTCTGCTTATGTTTACAACTTCCTGCACAATGAGAATCTCTCCCACATATCTGTGTTCTCTGACATTTGGAGAATGAAGTTGTAATATTATGAAAATATATAGCTATATAGTTTTGAGCCGCACACTACAAATCATGTTTTTAATATCTTAGAAATGTATGAAAAATACGATCTATGTTGACTTTTAATGACACTGAGAGCATTTTACACACCTTAATCTCATCACGCCTGAATTACTGAATCAGCCTTTTTATTTTTTTAGGATGAAAACTAAAAGGGACAGTTCGCAGTCAGGACCCCGAGGATCTGGAACAGCCTGAATGAGGAAATCAGGGTGGCTGAGTAAGTGAAGTCCTTTAAGTCCTTTCTTAAAATATCCTTTTATAAAAGAGCATTTTCTGATTTTACTTGAATTTTTTTTCTTTTAACTGTATTTTAACTCCCTATAAATGTTTGCTTGAAATAACAAATGTTGTTTTCATGGATGTTCA